AAACAAGGGAGGAGGGGACCCCTGGCCCTGTCCCGGGATGGGGAGCGTTCCCCGGGCAGCCTGTCCGCTCCCTCCGCTTCTGCTTCTCAGCAAATTCCCTCTGTTGCTCCAAAATAAAACCAGAGAGCCCAAAGCACTGGTTCGCAGCGTGCAGTGACTCGGCTGAGCCCAGAGAGCACCCCTCACTCTTAGACAGGTTTCCTGTTGAAGTATCCAGCAAAAACGACACTTGGGAGGTGACACACTCACCTCTGAACTCAGCTGTAAACCTTCGGGCTCTGAAAATGCCCAGTTTTCCTGAGAGAGGGAGAATGGGGCTGGTGGAAGGGCTGGGGGCAGGCACGGTGCCTGGGAGGGCCGGGCTTGGACCTGGGTGATCCTTGTGGGTCCCTTCCAGCTCGAGACATTGTGTGATCCCCCAAATCTCTGCTGTGACACCACGGCCGGAGCTTGCGTCACACCCAGCGCTGAGCAAAACAGAGTTCTCACCAGAAAAGAATGTTTTGGCCCAATTCTGCAACAACCCTGAGCACATTCCTTAGAAAAAGGCAGCTCAGGCAGCGGCTGCTTCCCCCCACTTCAGCATCGCCAGGGTTTGTGCCTCGGGGTGCTGAACCCGGCAGGTCTCTGGCTCCAAACCGCCTTAGGGGGGCTCAGCAGGGAAATAAAGCCACAGAAACAGCAACAAAACACTTTCCTCAGGGGCTGATGCCCAGCTGGAATTGCCACCCTGGGTTGCCCCATAGCTGCCATCAATGGCACCAGGAAATAGCCCTGAAATCAGCGGGATCAAGGAATCCCGTGTGCAATCCCGGGGGAGAGGAGGAAGGAGCTCTCTGCCCAGCAGCTGATAATTGCAGGGCATAAATCAAAGATCAAATCCTCACCGAGAGCATGGATAGCTCAGACAGATTGCAGGCTGGGACAAACTGAATCACACTCTCCCTTTGTAAATTCTGGGTGAATTTTAACCATCCCTGAATTTTCCTGCTTGGACATCCGGCTGTACAAACCCATTCATACAAATCCTCCAGATGCTGATGGTTTGGCTTAGATGCTGCAGCCCCTCAGAGCATTGCAATACACTGGGCTGCAAGAGTTGTGGTTTTCATACTATGAAACAAAATCCAGGAGGCATTTGGCTTGGGGGGAGCTTATTTCCCATTTGGAGAAGGGATCCTGCAAACCTGCCACAGGTAGAGGGGCTGGGGTGCAGAGGCTCTCAGTGGAGCTCAGCCAGTTTGATGGACAAGAATATCCCTGATTCCCTGTCATAAAACTACTTGTGGACTTGGAAAATCCTGATTTATGGCAAATCCTGGTTTAGCCAAATAACTCAACACCGCCCCAGGGGACAACTTAAATTAGCCCAGAGAGCTGATGAGGCCAAGGGCCCGTGGCAGAGGGGGGAAGAGGCTTTGCTGAGTTCCCTTCTCTCAGCATCTCTCTGATTCCCACACAAGTTGCATCCTTGTTCCCTGCCTCAGTTTCCCTACCAGCGCTGGGGGAGTTTCCTCCCCTGCCTCAGTGCCAGCCCATGCTGGGGTTCCCCAAAAAGCACCACAGAGCAGCTGCAATCTCTGCCAGAAGGTATCTGCTAACTGATTGCTCAGTATCACCAATTTAACCAGAGATTCTCTCCAAGCAAAAGACACAAGCAGCCTCTTTTCCCTCACCTTCCATCATACATCACTTGCATTTTTTCTTCTCTGCCATTTGCCTTATTTTGTTTCTAAATAAAGGTGAACCACACACCTCATGCCATGAGGTATTTGAGAGTAAAACAGTGCCCAGCACATATGGGGAGAGGGATGGAGCATCCCCACATGCAGGGGGCATCTGGGCACTCAGAAAGCCCCACTATCAAGAAAGCCACAAACCATGGCCTCTGCTCAGCTCTATCTCCAGCCACAGCCATTCTGGACCATGGGACCTTCCTCCCCTCCCAATGCTGCCTCTCAGCCACTCTGGTAAGTTGGAAGGGGAGGAATCTTTGCTCTGGCTGCATTTTCTCCCTGCCCAGCGAAGTCAGGATAGAAACAGTAAGACACAGAATGGTGTTTTCTAGCCAAGGCATTAAAAAACCTGTCACCCAGGAAGAAGGTGGATCATGGAATCACAGACTCCTCAGACAACCTCATTCCACCCCCTGCCATGAGCAAGGACACCTCATACTAAGTGGTTCCTGCTCTCCCTCAAGTTCTCTCATTTCACTCAGGGAAGCACTGGGAATGCTGAGACACCCACAGACTCAGCCCCAGGCTGCTCCACACATCCCAAACCTCCTGTCAAGACCTCCCCCACACAAGGCACCCCACAGCCTCCAGCAGTGCCAGGACACCTGCACAGCAGCGGGACCAGTGTGGTGAGCATTGTCAATATTTGCCCACTCTGGGCTCCCCAGAGGAGGGGCCCTGCTGAGGGTGCACAGCCATAAAAGGTGGGACCAGCAGCACCTTGGGCTCGCCAAAGCCCAGAGCTGCCTCTGCCAGGATGAAGCTCCTCTCACTGCTCCTCTTCTGTGAGTATCCCCCGGGAAAGCTCCCAGGCCCTGCCCACAGCCAGGTGGGCATGGTGAGATGCCCATTTTTGCTGTGGAAAGGTGGCATGGGAGGTTGCTTTCCCTGGTGCTCTTAACCCACCTTCTGCAGTCCTAGGACTGGCCCTTGCCAGCTGCAACCTGGCCCAGTTTGCAGCGATGATTAAGAAGAAGACGGGGAAATCGGCGCTGGCTTACAACGGGTACGGCTGCCACTGCGGCTGGGGCGGCTCCAAGCAGCCCCTGGATGCCACTGACAGGTACTGAGAGCCCCCAGCCCTCCTCCCCTCCCTGGGTACAGCGCTGCAATCTCCCTCCTGCTCCTGAGGGTGGAAACAGCAATGAGAAAATTGTTGCTTGTCCGTAAAGTCTCTGTAGAAGTGGTGCAGCAGCAGCAGCAGCAGAGATGCAGTGGGTGATGTTTTACCTTCTGTCCCACCTGTCCCTGACCTCAGCTCTCCTGCCCCCAGGTGCTGCCACGCCCATGATTGCTGCTACAAGAAACTGGTGGCCGCCGGCTGCAAACCCAAGACGACCACCTACAAATACAGCTTCCAAAAAAACCAAATCACCTGCGGTGAGAGCGGGGCAGGGGCAGCGCCCTGAGCGGGGAGCCACCCACACCCGGGGAGCCTGGCTTCCAGCATCCCCTTTAGATCATCCTGGCCTGGAAATCACACACAGGGAAGTGGGTGGAAATACAGGAAAAGTGCCAGGAGTAAGGCAAATAAGTATCTGATGGATTGTGGTGAAGTTTTAGAGCTTGGAGACTTCCCAAGAGGCCGAACACCAAGGGTTTGAGAGGAGCCTCCCATGCTGGATGGGGACCTGGCACAGCTGCCCTGAGTGCTCACTGTTACAAAGCACATCCCAGAGACCCAGGCAAACACCCACAGACACATCAGAGACAAAGTGATGTGAATGCTCCACACCCCAGACACGAGACCACCTGAGACACCCCAAACTCAACAGAGGGGCTGTGGGGATGGTCAGAAAACACCCCCTGACCCTCACACCCTTCACCTGCCTCCATCCCCCCAATTTTCTTCCAGGAAACGGGAAGCCGTGCCAGAAGCGGGCGTGTGAGTGCGACAAGAGGGCTGTGGAGTGCTTCCAGAGGGCAGCCAGCTCCTACCGCAAATCCTACAGCAACTACCCCAACTCCAAGTGCAGG